AGGATAAATAATATTTTAAAATAAATAGCATAAAGGCCGGGCGCGGTGGCTCAAGCCTGTAATCCCAGCACTTTGGGAGGCTGAGGCGGGTGGATCACCAGGTCGAGAGATCGAGACCAACCTGGTCAACATGGTGAAACCCCGTCTCTACTAAAAATACAAAAAAATTAGCTGGGCATGGTGGCGCGTGCCTGTAATCCCAGCTACTCAGGAGGCTGAGGCAGGAGAATTGCCTGAGCCCAGGAGGTGGAGGTTGCGGTGAGCCGAGATCGCGCCATTGCACTCCAGCCTGGGTAACAAGAGCGAAACTCCGTCTCAAAAAAAAAATAAATAAATAAATAAATAAATAAATAAATAAATAAAATAAATAGCATAAAATATAATAAAATTCAGATAGAGAAAATGAACAGGGTTAAATTTTTTTTCTGATGCCAAGTTATCATTTGTTTCCTATTCATAGAGTTGAAGTAAACTTTTTTTGATAATGACAGATTTATTCATAATTTGTGGATAAAGGAATTTAATGAAAAAACGAATGACTAGTATAATTCTAAGACCAGAAAACTGTCACAAAGAAATAAACTGAAAAAGTGAGAAAATTAGGTTCACAAGCCTGTGTGTCTATCGAAGAGTAAAAGAACAAAACAACCCACCCCCAGAAACAAATCACACATAGTGGTACAACATGGAGGACAACTAAGCAGAAATTAACATATCAAGTAAAAAAGAAAGAAATTCTACAAGAGAGGTTCGTTTATTTAATGGTGTATGGTCCTATATGACAGAAATGTTAAAAAGGTCTTCTATAAAAGTATTTATTTTTGGACTTTAACATTTGATAACGAAGCTATATTTATGACATTAGAGGAAACTGCAAATCCTAGAGAAAACACTACACAGAGGTATATAAATATGAGGGTAATGTGCATCAATAAGAAAATTCGTTTTATTTTCAATTCTATATATGCTCTTACTACATTACTGAGTTCAACAAATTATGAAAACTCACAGAAGGCAGGCTGCGATAATGAAGGGATTGGAAGAAATGTTACTAAACAAAACATGTTCTGCAATTTCAATCAACTTAAAAACTTGAAGTGCACACAGACATAATGTAGATGCCTAAAAAATGTCCCCCAAATAAAGTTTGTTGATAAAAGGTCTAGATTAAGTTTTTGCAGTATTTTGAATACATTGTTTTAGAAGTTTATTTTTTAAATTATGAAATGGATGAATAGAGTTGAAATTTCAAGAAGGTTAACAAGTTGGCAAAAATAAAATTAGGTCAGGAGACAGCCAGAATGATTTTTGGTATACTGGGACTAGTCTAAATGTTGTATAATATGAAGGCAGTATGAGCCATGAAAATAAATGGTTCCCTTTAGACTCTGGAAAGCTCCATTGATTTAGAAATTTAGTTATTATAATGCAGCTTTTTTTTCACTTTTTTCAGTCCAATTTATCACTGTATGTCAATTAAAGAAATATTTTCACAAGTATATTTTAATGCAATTTTGTTGAGTATCTTATGATTACCTTCAGTTTTTAGGAATTGACTGTATATTGGCAAGAAAGCAACAAGTATCGAAATAACAAATAGTTATGCCTTTATTACTGTATTGCTTAGGCTGATTAGAACTGAATTACATGTTCATTTACTGACAAAAATCTTGAGATGGTGTTCAAAATATGAAGCCAAAATTATAAACAAGAATGACTATAAAAATGTTAAAGTGTTTTGACTAGTAAAATTTTCTGAATTTATAATAGCAATATAACTTTTATCAACTGCATTCTTGACTTTATATTAATCTTACATTTTTTATTTGCTGAGAAGATTGAGGTTGTTTTATACATAACTTATTGTCTCATTTGAAAGACTGGATTCTTTTAAATAAGATGTCTATGATTCTAAACAAATCCTTAACATTTTAATGATAAAAATGCAATGTTATTTTGAAACTCCAGAAAATATTTTCTTTCATTTTAACATGATTATTTAAAATGCTGTAGGCAATTATTAATTTTAATTAAAAATGAAATTGGTATTTTAGTGTTTTTAATTGTGCTAATAAAAACTAAAGGTAAAGTAAAACTAATATTCCTTGACATTTTAAGGTAAATCTAAACGTGGCATTTCTGAATATATGGCCATATGCTACATGTTTACATGTATTTACTCAGTCTTTCAGTGTATCCCTTTTCTCCATATCAACTTAGCAAACTGTAACATTATTACAAAAATAAGAGAAAGCAAGCTCAGAAACTGCTCATGAATAACTTATCAAGTAGAGAATGATGTGTTCAAAATTATTCCTCATTTTTAAAAAGTCTCCTTTTGCTAAATACATCATGTATACTTTAATGGATCTTTTGCTAATGCATTAAAATAAAAATAATAAAAAGAAAAATAATTTTAAGCATATTTTTAAGAACATAAAGTACATTATTCAATGTTTGCATTCACCTATTTTTTTGTAAAAGCTGGTTCCTTGCATTTTTTTCAGTTTTAACTTTAGCATTCAGAGGTATAGAATTAAAAAGTTCTTGGTACTGACAATGATCTCTTTTGTATTTTTAAGTGTATTGCCATTTCCTTGTCATCTTTGTATAAATGACAGTGGCAGTCTCATTAAGCTTTTTAGAACCTTACAAAAACATAAATAAATATATGCTATTTTTCCTACTATCAAAATATATATTATGTTCATTATGAAACTAACTGCATATTCAGTAAAAAAAAAACCTACAACTTCAATTATTATTAAAACATTCTAATTTAAAGAAAGTAATTAGTGTCAATTTTTTGATTTTTAAAAATTATGTAAGGAACTTGCTTTAGATTTAGAAGGTGACACTATTTCTATTCTGAATGAAAGAAGACACAAGTATCAAAAACTATCGCCATATGAATTTGGGGGGCAAAATAGGAATAGTTTTGTTTTATAGTTTGTGTTATTAGACTAACCATAAATGTTTTATGCTTATTAATTCAGAGCCATGGTGTAATTTTAAATATAACTGTATGACTCTAAGTTGACATTAAATACTAAAAGTTGAATAAAAAGAAAACAAATCTAGACATGATTAAAGCTGTATGAAGAACTAAGAAGAGTTTAAATGAAAACAACAAAATAGCTATTCTTCTGCAAATTTTTCACTCAGGTCACACTTCAACTCAAACCCTAAATTTTGAGCAGTATGAACTGGCTAAAACAGATCAGGGGGAAAAAACTGCTATTAAGAACTAATTCATTCCAACACACATATATGAATATGAACATACCTCTCATATATATGAGAATGAATATATATGAATAATGTGCTAATAATTTTTCTGGTGAAATAACAATTCATTCTTCTGATTTTTTAGCAACACACATAAACGTTAATAAATTTCATAATTCTTGAATCAGATTTTTAAATGAAATGCCAGATTCTTAAGAAATAGAAAAATTTGCAGTAAAATATATGCAGCATTAATATTTTAATAATAAAAATTGTTTCCATTAGTCTTATTAATAAAAAATCTAGTCAGTAATGAAATAACATTTATAGATGTTTAAAATTCCACGTCTATATGTAAGCGTAATTTCACCAAGATAAGTACTCACTAAGCACAAAAGAGGGCAAGTTGATTTTCCCACTATATTTAAAGTAGATTTACCCACTATATTTGAAGTTATTATATAGTGAAAGCAAATATTTGTATTTAGAAATACAAATTTTTATTACTCTGAATTATATACCCTTTCACTTTTGCCTTGAAGTTATTAATAATGTATTTCTATAATATATATTCTTAGTTTAAGTGAAACAGCTATTACATATGCTGGCTAGAATTTAGACAAGTTTTAATTTTAATAATAAATACTAATTTTAAATCCAGAATTAAATTTCAGAGACAAAGATCACATCATATTCTTCACTTATTAAAATTAGATTTTAGGCTACTTTAATTCTAGCGTGTGTGGATTTGTGAGTTAAACTTAAGAGATTAGCATCCAAATTGCATTTTAGACATCCCAGTATTTTCTGTATTTAAGTATTTGTTCTCTCTTTGTATAACTTCAAAAATAAAGCAAAACAAATGATGTTTTAGTTCTGAAGTGCTAAAGTGGTACATCATGCTGGGGTATTTGTGGTTCTGAGTAATTTGAAAAGCTGAAAGCAATCCTTCATAAAAACCACCTGACTATCGTTGTCACCACCATGTATGCATCTAATTAAAGACCAGTCCTTTAAGCATATAAGACTTGTCTGTTTGCATTATCCATGTCCAGGTTAGCAGCGACAACCTCCATGCATTCAATCTATGCTTTTCACATTATGCATCATAAAGGCTAAAATATTCTTATGCTTTTCTTTTTCCTTTAAGTTTTTAAAAACACTTTTACTTTTCCATTTCATCAATCATAAAAGAAATGATATAACTACAATCTGTCTCATCTTTTGTTTCTAGCTTATAGTTCCACAGTTATTTTTGTAGCAGATGAAATAAAACATTATGTAGGATGGATTGGCTATACAAGATAAGTCATCTTTTGATTGAGTTGTTATGAGTTTTATCTTTATCAAACATTATTTATGTAGTTTGACCAAGATATTGAATTGTCAGTAATATTTTTTCATTAACTAAAAGGAAAATATTTCTATGTGGCGGAGAATGAGATAATTTCATTACCAAGCTCCTCAAAGGAAATAGAGAATCTCAAAGCATTTTTTGTTGTTGTTTACAATGACTATATAAAATAAACCATTTGAAGAATATAGTCCCATATTTTGAAAGAGTTGAGTGCAATTACTAATGTCTCAATGTTAGAGGAACCTATTATTTTAAATAAATGAAGATAGAGCACCAAATTGCTGCCTGCATCCCGTCACTTTTATCCTTGTTTCTTAAAAAAAACCTGAACTCCATTTTTACCAAAAAGGCTGGAATGTTGAACTTCATCTCCTCAAAGAGAACATTTTTCCAGAGCCCTTTGTGTAATACTTACTCAAATATGGTGGTTTGTAAGGCGCTCGCGTATTAGACAGCAGTCCGTCCAGCTCCTTCCTCTCCAGAGTGCTGTGAAGGGCCTTCTCCTTGCCAAAGGTGGAGAAGGACCGCTCTGCCCCAGGCTGGGCTTCTGGAGTTTCAAACACCTCAGTGTCTGGAACAGAGTCCATGCCGGGAACATGCAGATTGCTGCGATAATCAGCAGCCTGGCGTCCATCAGAAGGGACAAAAGAAGGCATCCAGCACCGATCTGAGTGGCCAAGAGCTTTACATTCCTCAGTGCAGTTGGAGAAGAGATCCATACCTGTAAGCAGAAAAAAGAAAGTACAGCTGTAGTCTTCACCATCATGACCAGATACTTAGCGGTGTAAGATTACAGGTAGCATAAAGGGTGACAAGTGGAGATGCTTAAAAAAATTTTCTTGGCTTAATCTGACAGGAATAAAATATCGTCTTGTCTCATTTTTGTTCATCACTTTAAAAAGAGAAAATGATCTGCAAAGGTAAAAGATAGGACTTCCGGCAAAGAGGCCTCTGAGATAAATGTTTCTAAACTACTTAGGGTATTGGGAAAAAATATTGGTTCTAAACAATTTAAATAATTGAGTAATGGTGAGTGAAATAAGTAGACATCTTTATACAAATTTCTTGGGAAGTTCATAACAGCCAAAAAAATTAAAAACAAGGTGTGAAAGTTTTAAAGTCCATAATTCCTAACAATGATAAATACCTGATTTTTTTCTTAAAAACAAATATGAGAAACATGTCGAGCACTAAAAATGACATTTAGATTATGAAATCTGAATATGAAACAGATAGTGAAATTCAACAGAATTGTGGCATACACAGAGGAAAATCAGTAAATAACAAGAATAAAACACAATCTCATTAGTAGCCAAAAGCATGCTTTCTGAGGTTCCTGGGAAATGACTTCCTAAAGGTATTTCTCAATGACACTCTGGTAGTCCACATTACTAAAAAACCACTTATCATTTACCACCTTAGACAAATCCAGAACAAATGACTGTAATTAGTGAAACCAAGGTAACCAAATGCAGTGTAAATCAACTGCAGATACTATTGACAAATACCTTATTACATGCTCTATATTGGAGCACACTTGTCCTGGTCAACAAAGAGTTGTTTGCGTACTAATTCTATAATACCAAGATTTAAAATGACAACTTCAAATTTCATTGTCTTCCTTTTGACAAGATTAGAAATATTATCTGATTATGATCAAGAAACGTCATTCAGTTTCTCAAGCAAAGCATAAGAATTTTCAAGCACTACAGAATACTCTTTGATATTAATGCTGATATATAGCACTACACAGAAAAACACTTAAAGGAAAAATAGCATTTTAATGTTTCTCTAAACATAGTAACATAGCTATCAACTAAAACAAGGCCAAAACAGTCTCAATCTATTCCCAAACTTTAAATGGGTAAGAAGCTCCCTGGCTTACTGGCGTGGAGCTGGGTGTGGAATGAGAGTACCTAGTGAGCCACTTTAGTTTTTAAAATAATATTAAAAATAATTTTTAAAAAATCAAAAAATTTTAAACAGAATATATTCGAAAAACAAAAGTATATTATTAGTATGTAGAGAAGAAACTTGAATCCAAGCATACTCTGTGAAAACATTTTTTAAATCAAAAAGTAATATTTATTTAACGAACATACTTGATTGCTACTTCTGTTAATATCACAAGTGATTTGAGATCTTGAGCAAGTTTTGGTTTTTAAATTCCTAATAATATTTGGTTATCTACTAATCAATATGTGTTATTATATATGTTATCTGCATATATAAAATAAACAAAATAATTTTTCAAAATAATGAATACTCTAGATTATCCACAGTATTTTGGAGTTAAGTAAAGCTAATTAGATAAATTAAAAAAAAAGAAAACACCAAGCTTCTTATCATATACTAATCTCACTGCATAATGACTTTTTAAAAATTTTATATGAAACTACGTAGAATGCTAATTCTGACTTTGATTATAATACTTCACTGATAATTTTCCTGTATAAGTCTGGAAATAAATTACTGATCAGTGAACTGTTGAACAGAAACGTGAGCTGAAGCTGGGATTAAGGAATCTGACTGAGAACAGCATGTAAAACATGTAAATGTTTCACTAGACATCAGAGAAACTCACTCCTTTATCCTATTTTTGCAAGAAGATACATAAAAAGAAAAAGAGAAAGGGAAATAGAATGTCCCTGATACACGTTTACATACTAACTAGGTAGAAGCTACAGAAACAGAGAGAAGATTTATATTCTGACATGTAAATGCTGCCTATTAAGTAACAGAATTATCGGGAACATCGATTTTTTTTGATTGTAGAAATTATCTTTGAGAATAAAATTATTATGAGCAATTATTTATTTTTAAAATAAACTTAAGATATACTCAATTTGAATAGCCAATATAATTACATTCAAATATAAAGATAGAATTGGTCCATTATATCCTGATAAAGATAAATGCCAATGCAAAATTTGAGCTAATACCGTTTTTCTTCACATGAGGGATAATAAATATAATTTTAAATATGCTAAATAAGACAATATATGACCTTACACATTTTTTTTTTGCACCTAGGCCCAACTACTCTTCTAATTGTGAATATGACAATTCCAAGCAAAATTTTAATAAACTGGTACATCAACATATGCTAGGATATTGCTTGATTTTGGTAGAAATTACTTTTATGTAGTTTATATCCTAATGTGCCCATTTTCTTATTTGGCAAGTATGCTTTTCTTCTGTCTCTTTTGATTATTTGAGTTTGTTGGAAATTTCCTTAGATTACATAACAAAACATGAGTTGAGAATCTATTATTAAAAATAAAGTATAGCATGTGCATGGCAAAAAAATTGAGGGAGATAGAAAAGTTTTTTCTTTAAAGAACAGTATCACTCTACAGAGGCAAAAAACATGTAAATAATGTGCTTAGTAAATTTATGAATCAATCCTGTTAAAGTGGAAGTCTTTTAGCAATAATGCACAGCTTTATATAACTAGAAGAAAAGGTAAAGTGTTTCAAATTGTACATAAATGTTTCACCAGTTTTTTCGATTAGTGTTCCTATTTCTCAGAAAGAAAGTCAGACATAGAAACAAACATTTAAAACATAACAGAAATATTAAATCAATAAACTTCAAATTAGTAACAGAAAAAATTAATTGAAAATTGATTTTTTCATTTGTTGTGTAGTTATATAGTTTGAGATCCACATAAATTGATTCCTTTACCAATCCTCACCTCAGGAAGACATTGTATAATTCACATTATTTTAAGTTTTATCATCTATTGCTAGTCCTGTTAAATATAGTACTTTACCAAATAACCAGAGGTATGTTTAAGTTTTATTATGATAAATGACTTCACGATGCACAGGGATGCCAGATGTTACAGTAGCTGTGATACATTAAAATGTGTAACTTTAACAGTGATCTTACAATTTTTTGAGAACTCCAATTGATTGCTCAAAGGTTAATAAGTTTAACCTAATTTTCCTTTTCTTCATTCAAATGCCCTTACTATGGAAATTGTGAGATTTTTACAACAGAAAATTACAGGCCAAACCTCAATTTAATTTAAAAAAATAAATAAATAGATGTTAGGGACACAAGTGCGATTTTGTTGTATGAATTTATTGTGTAGTGGTGTAGTCTGGATTTTTAGCATAACCATCACTTGAATAGTGTAAATTGTACTCATTAGACAATTTCACATCCCTGGTGTCAGTCCTCCACCTGTCAGAGTCTCCAATATCTACTATTCCAAACCTCAGTTTTGAAATTTTGGTAATTTCTAATAAACTTTTCAACAAATATTTTTTACTTGCAATCCCTTTTTCTAGTTATTTATTTTTTCCACTTTTCCTAAATAATCTGTTCCAAAAGGGATGATAGCTGATGTGATAGACTGCCTGTTATGCGAAGATATGCACAGACAAATTTTAAAGTACATGGCTTTCAACTGGCAGGTGACTTGTCCTGTCTACTCAGAGGCAGTGAATATTTCCACTGAGACCAAATTGTGATTTCAGAAATATTAGAATTGTATTCAATTTCTGCGGATTTTTTGTGAATGTGATAATACAACATTGTGTGAACATTTCTTTTTGTGCAACAAGCTTTCATTCAAAAAGTTTATTTTTCCCAAATATGATAAATTAATTTTAAAGAAAATATAAAAGTTTTCATTTTTTTGAGAGGATTTCTGGTCTTCTTTTAACTCCTTAAGATATATTAATTGTAACCACAAAAACTGCAATATGCTTTAGGAAAACACGGTTTTACAGCAGATATTTATTGACATACTCACTGATGAGAAAATCAAAACACATCTATCATATTTTTCTCCCTACCTGTAATCTTTCCTAATGTATATATGTTTTACTATTTCCTCTTAATATTTTGTCTTATATATTGCTTGCAGTTATAAATCTCTCCACATTTTCAAGTTGTAGCTCAAAGATTCACCGGTGAAGGAGGTTTTATAAATAATGGTATAAATTCATTTTATATATAAACTCAAAAACAAATTTGGCAATCATCTAAATTCTTAGTGGAGTTGGGAAATAGATATTTGTGTTTGTAATAAACCAAGAATTCTATTGCTGATATTGTAGTAATGCAATGAGTTAATGCATTTCAGTGATATACTTTATCTACTAATTTGGAATATTTGACCAATCACATTATTTTATTTTTAAAATTTATAGAGAAATTTTGATCATGCATTACATCTGTATCCATATATCTATAATTAGTTAAAAATTAAACATAGCTGGAAATAAGTTCTCTTGCAACTGAAATTAAAAAATTATTGAAGAGAAATTTGACAATTTTCAGAGAACATCTAACAAGTAATTCACTTATTAGGGTTCTCTCTTTGACATATTTTTTAAAGGCACAAGATATTAAAAGTAAAAAATAAATTATAAAGTAAAAAATTTATATTTATAAATTATAAAGTTAAAATTAACTTGGCATTATTGACAGTGCAGGCATTTTGTAATGGGAAAAGCAACCTCTCACTACAAAACAGATCACTTTAGGTAAATCTCAAATAGTATTAAAATGTTTAAGAATATACAATTTAAAATATTCTATCTGTACCCTCATATAGAAAAAAATAATTATGTTTTAATCTAATGACATAGTAAGTTGAAAATATATTTATTTAAAGTCCAAGTCTTTGGCTATTTGGGCTGTGATTGATCAGTTTTTCCTCTTGCGATGGTTTATGTATGCATTTACCACTTCTCCTTGGACTTCTGCCATATCTAACCAATACATCAATAGTGCACTGAAAAAAACGGAAAGCACCTTGACAAGGCTATACAAAGAAAGTGCCACAGAGCAGTGGTCAAGGCGAAAAATTTCACACATGGAGCCAGGTGCAGTAGAAAACTGAAAAAGCTTATGTGATTCTCTGTGCAGCTGCCTTCATGTTTAAAGCCCTTCTATGAACAAGATTGGTGACAGCAAATGGCTTAGGGAAAAAAAAAAAAAAAAAAAAAAAAAAAAAGCAAGAAGGAGGGGGTGGAAGATAGAACAAAAAAAGAAAACTATTCATAAAAGAATAAATAGAAAGCATATCTAAATAAATAATACAAAATAATGTCAATGTAGGAAAAGAAATAGGAATAAAGAAAAAGTTCGGAAGTTCAAACAGGTGAAGCACTAAGCTAAATAGTCTGTATACTATAGTGTGGAATGAATTACAAACTGAAAGAGATAATTTGGAGGCTTTATCTTTCCAATGTTATTTTTTCCTGATAATCTAACTTTTCCATACTAAAACCTAGTGAAGTGAGATTTGCTTATTGCATAGTTTTTCCCCCCCATCCTGAACTTAGAAAGCTATGCTATGAGCAGTATTACCTAATTTTGCAAAATTGGAAGAACATTAATATCTGGCTTTACAATTAAATAAAACAGATTTATCTGAAATAGGCTTAAATTTTTGGAAATAGTCTAACTGCTTCATGTGAGGTTTACAGTACATAACAGCAGTGTGGATTGAAAATAGTCTTTAAGTAAATACATTTTAATTCTCTGCATTTGAGGTTTTATACTTAAAAAAGAAAGCACTTCAAAATCATTCTTACAATAAAATTAGACATTATATCTGATTGCAATTCAGCACACAAAGGTGCAATCACTTCTTAACATAAGTGCTTTATTACAATCCTAAAATAGCTATTATTGTGCCCAGTGTGTTGTGGCTGCCCTGTAACTACTAATGAGATACATAAACAGATTGCTAATTCTGTAATATTTTTAATGTTTAAGAACTTAAAGATAGGGGAAAAATTGTAACATTTTGGTAAAGAAAAATAAAAATTGCTTTGCCAAAATGTTTTCCGGAACTCATTTTAACATTTTAGTTTTCCTTTAAATGCTTTGACCTCTCCAATAATTTGAAAGGAACATTACCGAAACAGCAACACTGAGTGACTGTGAAATAAAGTAGCTACTGGGAAGAAGCGCTGATAAGAATATGTTCTCAGCTATCTTCCAAATTTGGCTCTTTTTGCAGATGTTTATTCATTTCTCTTTCTTCAGTTACGTTATTATGGGTCATTATGTCTGAGGGACTAAACTAATTGAAATGTTCATTGAGATTGAAGTGCTACAAAAAAAACAAAGCGGAGAGTGTGGGGTGGGAAAGGAGTAAAATGCATCCAAAAAAGCATGCAACAGATACTCTTTCTTAAACATTAACCATTTTGTTTTAAAAGTTTTAAAAGGCTGACAAATTAGAAACTCTGAGAAAAGAACAGGAATGAGCAATTCTAAATGTACAGTTTTTAAAGATAACAATAAATCATATGCCATATATAGGGCAAAAATGAAAGGGACTTTGTACTCACATATAAACTTCTGGCAAGATCTGGTTTGTTGTCAGGTTCCCAGACACTAAATAGATGCTCTGTTCACTTAGCGTGAAGGCCCGCAAGGGGCAGGGACCTCCGGGGATTCTTGGCAGTTCTCAAGTCTCATTAGGTCTGCATATTAATGACTCACAGCAATATAAAGAGACCCTTGAGCAGCCTTTTTTCCCTTCCTCCTGCCTGGGTTTCCCAAGGCTAAGGCAGCCACAGACACAGCACACATTAGCCAAGTGAGAGGCTTGTAGCAACCACTGCTGCCAGGCCACCGTGGGCTGTACACTGCCCTTTGACACACTGCCTCAGCACCATCCAGAGGTCCACCGAGTGTGTTAAGGAATGGGTGCTCTCGAGGACTAATACCACCTTGAAAGTAAGAACCTATCGCTCTAAAGTTATATTATTAGCTAAAATAAAGGTCCAATCTCAAGAGAGCCAAGTTGAACCCAGAGATAGTCTAAGATCGACATTTGCAGAAGTTAGAAAAGTTGACTAGCCTGTCTATTTCTTCATGTTTCGTACAAACACAAAACTAGATCGACAAAGTAAAATATTCAATAAGCACCCTTCAAAGATGAAAAACAAATAATTCGGAAGGACACTAGAAGTTTATTAAATCATTTTCATTTTAACATACATATTTTATTTCATGTTAGAGTTTCCTTTTAGTATTAGTAGTAAGAGTTACCAGGATCTCATAAAACTTGACTTTATAAAAAGAAAAGTAAAATCAAACAAATATATATCACATTGGAAACCTATCAGTGATTACCATCAAACCCACATACAAATTACACTCAGAGTTTATCTTTTGATAATGTCATGGACCCTGTTGAAAATATGAAGAAACCAAGGACACTTCAGAAAATACACATGATCATGTTTTACCTACTGTTCTGAAGCCTAAGACTCAAGATAAGAAACCTTGTTTTCAACCTGTTAATGACTTTTAATCACCATTACTTTCTCATTCAATACTTGGTGGTGTGTAAAATGCATTGCCCTGGAAAACAAGAAATGTGGATTCTAGTCTTCAGTCATCCATTTATTCTCTAGTGACCTTGTGCTGGTCAATCAGTTTTATCCATCTTCAGTTACCTCATCCATAAACTAGTTTAAGAATACCTTAATTGACTGAAGACTTGTGACTGCACCAGGTGATAGAGCTATGGCTTTCTGTATGTAATGGGTACATTAAAGAACATTACATAAGCAAGATATATATTTCATAGTCTGACATACTCCACAATGAATTCCTAACTTAACTTTCCAAAGGAACGGTGCATTTTTACAATTCTCTTTAAGTTTGCAATTATCAAAATAGAGTGACGCTATTTGTCTGTGGAATTACCAGCATTAAACATCAGAAAAATGTCTAGGACATCATCCTTCCTGAATTTATTTTTAAAAATACAAACTATAAAAGTTAGCATTTAGATTGCCCTTTGATCACACTTACCAGCTGACTGGGCACGGTTGGTGGCATCATGATCACTATCTCCCTGTTCACTGTCTCCATGACCACTGTCCTTAGAGCTTACTATGTCGGCTTCCTGGAATGCAGAACTAGAAGTACAAAAATGTGAATATTAGAATTAAAAAGGTGAAGAAACACAGGAAACATTCTTCTGCCACCACATGGTCACAGATGGTGCTGCAGACGCACAGACCTCTTAGTTGGCTTTGTTTCTGCATAAAGCTAGTTTTTATAACCTAAGCGCAACTCTTTAAAAATTAACAATTAACAGTCAATTTGAGCATGTAAGTCATGTAAAGGTTAGACATTATTCCATAAGTGGAGCTAAATACATGTTTATATTATTTTCATTATATATATATATATATATATATATATATATATATATATTTGGAACAGTAAGACTATCAGAAGCTGTGTAGGAGTGTAAATTGACAGAATATTCAAATATATATGTTGTATATAAATAAAATATAATGTAATTTTAGTGTACTGTCTAGGAAACACAATATAGTCCATATTTGTGTCTTGCCCTAATTGAAACTACTTCATACATTTTATATTTTAATTTAGAATAATGTACCTATTTTCTACTTTTACTCGATTGTAAATTGTCCACATCTGCTAGGGAAAAAAGAGTCCATACCTGTTAACTCGGCGAGGTCTGTCAACTAGATAGCTGAGCTCTGCTCGCTGGTGTTTAGTCTAGGAAAAAAATAAATAAATCAAGAGCATTTGAATGCTATGGGGTGAACTAGTAGTCTACTTTTGAGCTTAGAAACTATACCTACTTTCAGTAACTGTATACATTTTTATGAATTTCCAAGCTCTCCTAAGACCTGAGCCCAGTGTTTGCTGTGTAAGGGCAGGGGAGATACTCAGAGACACCTGAATCCACATTTCAGTCAGTTGTAAAGGTTAAAAAAATAAAATTGGCTAACTTTAAATGTGTGTGTGTGTGTGTGTGTGTGTGTGTGTGTGTGTGTGTGTTTAAAGAGAAAATACAAATGACCTCATAGCTAGAGCTCATATACTATTGTCTCTAACAGTCAACCTGTTTATATTCTGCAGTCTTTTTTTTCAGCGGCCTAAAAATGTGTTTAGGTGCATACTGGTTGACACAAGAAAAACAGCACGCTCAATAAGCAAAAAGTTTGGATATTTTAAGGAATTATGTTGTTGTTTATTTTCAAAATGTGCTTAAGATACAAATGAGCTGTACAAATATTCATGAAAGTCAATTAATAATATCTGAGACTCAAATAAAATAACCTGCTAGGAAAGGAGTTCATAATCCTGCCGGCCCCCCCAACACCCCCATTTTTCCCCTCCAAAGGCCCTCTGCATTCTCCTCCCCACCTCTACCACCCACACACCTTTCCCATCCAAACTTTCTTTTACATAAACCAACTTTGTTCTCTCCCCAACCCCCACCCTCCAACTTTGTCACTTCTCCATCCTTTTAAAAAGAAGTCAGAATTGACAAGCCAAATTCTTTTATGAAGAAAGCCAACAGCAGTGATTTATCCAAAACAGAGAGGCAAGAAGGTGATTATCGGCTAAAAAGATATATTTAAGACAACAATTGTTTAAGCCTTTCGTTAGATTACTCTTAACAGGGGTTTGTGCCAAAGCAACTTCATTCAAATTCACACTGTGTGGGCGCTCGGCTTCAAGAGCATCTGTAAATGCTGTCCGGAGCCGAACTGAAGGCTTTTTTTTTTTTTTTTTTTTTTTTTTTTTTTCTTGCGACCCGAGTTCAGAGGACGAGGATCTGATAATTTGTTCACTAAAACATGCATTCGAGGGTAGACAACTGCGTAAAGTTCAACAATCTATAGCTTACTTGTACACGCGACTGAAAGCATCGTTAAACAAAGCAAAATAGAACCAACTTTATTAACGCCTGGGACAGATGCAAAGCAAAAAGACCGTTGCCAGTGCTGAAAAGTCCCTCCTCCACATTTCCCTCTTCCTTCAGGCACTTTCCCTTTATCCCCAGGTTACTGAGAAGGGAAAGGACTGGTGGGAATTAAGGTTTTAGAGGAAAGCTGGGAGAGCGAAGGAGGGAGCACAAGGTGGCCAAGTACCCAGGGGACCGAATGAAAATAAATGTGAAAGAGTGAAACAACGCGAAAGTTAGGTTACACGCGGAGCGGGAGAAGGTGACCGACCGCCCATCTGCGCTCCCACAACGATACAAATAAGCTAACATCCTAAAAATAGATACACAGTGCACCAGAGATACAAGGGCCGGGCTAGAGGAGGCTTTCTGATGGAGGAGATGAGAGATGGTGGTCCTTTCGCTTCAGCCTTACCTCGTTGGACAAAATGCTTCCGTTGGAGATGATATCGGGCTGCTGGTCGGTGTAACCCGTGACGATGGCCCCGCAGGGGTTGTGCTCAGTGTCCGCACTCCGCGAAGGGCTGCAGGGCTTAAGAAACATCAGGTCGGTCTTGGCGGACTCAGGGGTCAGGCAGACCTGGTAGCAGTAATTCTGGTTGTGGTGGTGGGAGCCAAAGCCCCCGGACTCCTCCACGGGCACCTGGGCCGGGTTACTGGGTACATTGGAGCTCTGCACCAGCATAATGTCCGACTTGCTGAGTTTCTTCTTGCGCGCCCGGGCTTGGCGGCCACAGCAGGTCGAACCTCCGCCACCGCAGCAGCAGCAGCAGAGGCAGCAGTCACTGGCCAGACAAGTGTAGATGTTGAGCTTCTTCTCTTTTTGGCAACGCACGGCCAGCACGATCATGGCCAGCAGGAAGATGAAGGACACCGAGCCCAGCGCGATGATGAGGATGAGGGTGAGGTCTAGCGAGGTTTCCCCGCCGCCCGAGCGGCTGGGGCGCTGGTGCTCCCCTGACCCTCCGCCTCCGCTCCCGCCCCCGCCCTGGGGCTCCACGGCGCCATCCACCAGCTGAACCACCAGGGTGGCGGTAGAGGACAGGGGCGGCTGCCCATGGTCACGCACCTCGATCACCAGCTCATAAGGCCGCTGGGGGTCGCGCTTGGCCGGGACTCGGCGCGCTGTACGCAGCTCCCCGGTGCGCCAGTCCATGCGAAAGAGGTTCATTTCGTTGCCACGCACGATGCTGTAAGTGAGCCTAGCGTTCTCGCCGTCATCCGCGTCCACCGCGGCTACGCGGGTGAGCAGGTAGCCCGGCTCTGCCGAGCGGGGCAGCACCTCACGCGCTGGCGTCCCGTTGCGCCCTGGTAGAGGCGCCACGATGGCAGGGGCGTTGTCATTTTGATCCACTATGAGGATGTTGACAGTGGCGTTACCCGCCAGCGCCTGGGGGCTGCCAGCGTCCCGGGCTTCCACCTGAAAGCTGAAGTCCTTGAGCTGCTCGTAGTCGAAGGAGCGCAGGGCGTACAAGTAGCCGTTCTCAGAGTTGATAGACACGTAGGTGAAGACGCTCATGCCCTGGATCTGGCACTCGAGGATAGAGTAGGCAAGCTGGGCGTTGGCGCCCTCGTCGCGGTCGGTGGCGCTCACCGCGTAGATGTAGGCGCCAGGCACGTTGTTCTCAGTCACATACACGTCGTAGACCGGCTGGCTGAAGCGCGGCGCGTTGTCGTTCACATCCGACACTTGCACCTGGATCGACTTACTGGTGGAGAGCGCAGGCTCGCCTCGGTCCCGGGCCACCACCGTCAGGGTGTAGGAGTCCCCCGCCTCTCGGTCCAGTGGGGCTTCGGTAACGATGGTGTAGTAATTCTTAAAGGAAGACTTGAGGCGGAACGGCGCGTCTCCCAGCAGCTCGCACTGCACCTGCCCGTTCTCCTCTGAGTCGCGGTCAGTCACGCTGAAAAGGGCCACCACAGTGCCGGGCGCCGCGCCCTCGCTCACCGCCTCCTTCACGGTGCTGAAGCTGATCTCTGGCGCGTTGTCGTTAGCATCCAGTACTCGCACTAGCACCTTGCAGTGCGCAGGCACGGCGTTGGGGCCCAGGTCCTTGGCTTGCACGTACACTTGGTACACCGGGCTCTCTTCATAGTCCAACTCGCCGCTTACCTCCAGTCTGCCAGTGCGCGGCGAGAGTCCGAAAAGCTCCCGTGCCCGGGGCGAAATGTGGCTGCTGAAGGAGTACACGACCTCACCGTTCTGGCCCTCGTCCGGGTCCGTGGCATTGAGCTGGATCACGAGAGTGCCTGGGGGCGAGTTCTCTGGTAGGGACACAGTGTAGACGGGTTGGTCGAAAGCGGGCACATTGTCGTTGGAGTCCAGCACTCGGATGGTGAGTAGGGCCGTGCCGGTGCGCTGTTGCTGGGGGGGCAGGCCCGCTCCCCCGCCACCTCCCCCTCCTTCTCCTCCTCCACCCCCTCCTCCCCCGTCCACCGCGGTCAGCACGTAGCGGTGCACCGCTTGCTGCTCTCGGTCCAGTGGCTTCTCCAGCACCAGCTCGGCGAATCGGTTGCCATCCCCCTGGGTCTGCACGTCCAGGGAGAAGTAGCTGTTGGGGGTGATCTCGTAGTCGCGCAAGGAGTTGGTGCCCACGTCTGGGTCGAATGCGCTCTCCAAGGGGAAGCGAGTGCCTGGCGTGGCGCTCTCAGAGATTTCCACCGTCAGGTCCGGCTCCGGGAAAGAGGGGGGGTTGTCATTAATGTCCAGCACCTCGATCTCCACCTGGAACAGCTCCAGGGGGTTCTCCAGAAAGACCTCCAGGTGCAGGACACAGGAGGGGCTCTGTTTGCAGATTTGCTCGCGGTCTATTTTCTCGTTCACGTACAGCACCCCAGTCTCCAGGTTGAGGTCTAAGTAAGGGGTCCTTGAGTTGGGCACCGTCTGAAACCCGCGAGCCGAAAGTTTTGTAATGTCCAGACCCAGATCTTCAGCGATATTCCCCACGAAAGTGCCATGTTCCTGCTCCTCCTGTACCGTGTAGTGAAGCTGGGAAAAGACTCCTTCCACCATCCAGAGCAAGGCAAAGAATAATAGCACAATCATCTCCAAAAGGAAAGGAAGTAGCTTCCCGCAGCCAGTCAGCCACCCAATCACCTCCCCCACCACCACGAAAAAAAAAAAAAAATCTGAAAAATACAAATAAAAGTGCGCTACGTGGGGGCTCCTGTGGCTTTCTGTCTTTAAAAATCTTACTCCTTTTGCTTCATTTTAGAGCTTCCCGCAATCCAGCCTCATTTTTTAATCTTAGCACAGGAAGGGTGGCAGGCGTCCCCTTTCCTCATCGGTAATCTTTCCACTGACCAATTAATAAAATAATGATAATACAACAGTCAGCGTCCTTTATTCCGACAGTCTTGGCGCAACGCGGCGCTGGCAAATCCCAAAGAGGAAATTTCGGTATTTCAAGACTGTCCTCGGTTTGTCTTCTTGCTGATGGGAGGAGAATGAGGAGGAGGTAAAAGAGGAGTAGGAGGAGGAAGAAGAAGAAGAGGAAGAGGAGAAGGAAAAGGAGATGCTGTTGGCACCGTTAAACATGCCTCTTAATGTCAACGGCTGGCAAATGCAAACGGGCTTAAAATCAGCGAGAGAATTTGGTGCCGGAAAAGCACAGAAAGGCTCTGCAGCTTAAAACTTTCATTCTCTTCATTTCTCCGGATGGATGTTCTTCTTGACATTTTTTTTTTTTTTTCCTCTTTCGCTCTATTTGTATTTTTCGTCTTTCATCGTCTTGGCTCCCTCTGTTCTCATCTCCACCGTGATTGGCCTCTCTGTAAGTGTAATGAGCAGTTTCTTTTCTGCTGTTTCCTTCCCAAGCCTCTTTCCCTCTAACCTGTCTCTTTCTCCTTCCAGTCCTTCCTTCCTCCTGCTTCAGCCTCGGAGCCTGTGGTCTGGGCTGGCAGTTTCTGAGCTCCGAGCGCTCGGCTTCTCGGTTTTTGCGCAGCGCCCTCATTCTGCCAACAAATCGCAGAGGAGCACCACCCACCGGGCTGCCGGTGACTGGCCGGGCCGGCAGTCAAACAGACACGTCACGCGGCAGCCGGGCGGGGCGGGGCGGAACGCTCGCCCGGGCGGCAGGGGTGAGTGTGAGTGTGAGAGCGAGAACAGCCCCGCGGGTCCCGAGGCGCTGGCTGGGGACGCTGCCGCGGCAAGTTCCCCGTCCCCAGCCGCAGGTAATGGGCAGGGAATAGAGAGGTTCCCCTGTTTGCATCAGCAAATGTGAGAACATAATAGCAACAGCTGCGGTATCCTCTCTGAGGAGCGGGATTTCCAATGATGCTATGACATCCTTTTTCCTTTAAGGTATTTTCCCTAAAACGGATCATGGAAATAAATCATCGAGAAGGGGAAAAAGTAGCGCAGGGACCACTAATTGGCAAGGGTTACCTAATTAAGAGACCCTAGCCGAGACTGGCAGGGCGTTTGAAAAGTGGGTATTCTACGGCATGTGTCCATCTAAGCGTGAGGGGTCTGAAGGGGCCGTGCGGAAAGCGGCGAAGCAGTCGGAGCAGGGGGTGCAGGTGGGTCCCCAAAAGCGGAGGAATTCACGCTATCGGGTGTGGGATGACAGCGCTTATAGACGGGCAGACGCGTTCGACGCACCTGCTTCCTCCCTAAATATATATTCGCAAAATAACTTACCAAGTAGATTAACTCACTTGAGGACCTAGCTTTGACCTGTGAACGCGTTCATCAGTGACTGAGGGGTTGGCTTTGAGCCGCTTCCCTCGAGGCCGCCATCCCAACAACGCTGGGCTCTCGGAAACCCGGCTCTCAGCACCGCCAGCCGCTGCAAAGCGTCTCTGATATCCCTGCGCGTTTTGCAGCCAAGTGCCACGCAGCGGCTGGGAACGCCGGCTATTTTCTAATTTTTTTTTTTTTTTTTTCTTTCAGTTGGAGAGCGTTCCCTCTTCCCCACCAGGCTAGACTAGATCATTAGATCACTGATTTCTGCGGAGCCTGGGGTCAGCCCGCTGCCTGAGGACAGTGGGGAGGCGTCGAACACCGGAGGGGTGGTGGGCAGGAGCCGTGCATACGCGGGACCCAAGTGTGCACCGCTGCGGGTATCTGCGAGCACGTTTGCACATGCACGGTACTTGCATCCATCCTCTCTGGCCCAGAGCTCAGCTCTGTGTAAGCCCCCACCGAGCCTCCCTGAGTTCTGAGGAACGCGCTTGACCAGCTGTGAGTGCCCATTCCGGAGGCACAGGGGCAACGCGGCACATCCACACAGCTAGTTCTTGTGAAGTTAAAACACAGTGCGAACTCCTTAATGCTGGAGAGTGGATAGAATGCCAATTCTCGAAGGAAAGATGTAGAAATATATATCTTTTAATTAACGGGCTACTAGCAAGGAATTGGTCGTTTATTCACTACAGAAGCCCCTATTCAATCTTCTTCTTATGCAAAGAGATAGGAAGGTCCTTTGCTGCTTTCTGGTAATGAACGATCCGAGAATACCGCCACCACAACCTGCGGGAAAAGTAGAGTCCTTTTCTCGACCCAAAGGTACATTGCCATTCCCTTCTGGCAGGGAATTGAGGAGGGCAAGTGTCCATGCAGCCGGGGACATGCTTCTGAGAGTCCCGCGAATGCACGTCTACTGCCCTGCTTTCTGCGCTTCCCCCGCAGCCAACGACCCGTCCCCCTGGCCCCCGCTCTTGGCTCTTTCATGAAGATGGGTCCTGCCTTTGAGCGCTTAGAAGGAAAGGATGGTAGCAAAAATGGCTAATCCTTTACCAGCTGCAGTAAATTGAAGACTGGCCAAAGCCAAGCGAAAACCGCTGCAGTTAAAATGATTTTAGCATCACGTCTGCGGCTGAGAATGGAGCGGCAGTGTATAAAGGGACCTGTGGATCAATGAAAAGGAGATTATAGTGTATCTGAATATTAATACGGTATTGCATCTGTGCTTCCCACCCCTCCCCCCTTTCTTTTTCTTCAGATCTGCAGGAAATGAAATGTTTTGAGGTCTTCAAGCTGACTCGTCAGAATCCTGGAGCCTTTAAAAAAAATGACGGTAATTTTCTAATGTGTTCATTTGTACGCATGGAAACCCTTGTGTGTGTGCGCGCGAGTGCGCGCGTGTTTGCATGTGAGAGACGTGTAGCTGAATGACAATGCAGATCCAGAAACTGGGGAAGAGGGTTTCTGCCCCCGAAATGTAGATGAAGTTTGAGCTGACTCGGGTCTTATGCTGAAAGCCAGAGTGCTTCCAGAGGTGGAGATGAAAACATGGAGAGATGGCCAGATTTGCCTGTAAATAATCACTACATCCACTGTAACACTTGAGCTTGAGCTGCCTTTTTTTTTTTTTTTTTTTTTTTTTTTTTTTTTTTTTTTTGGTGGCAAATGTGTTTGAATGGAACTCTCTCCGCAAACGTGGGTTACGGGCGTCTCCTAGCGGCGAAATCAGCATAGGGCAGGCCAGAGAATTTTGCTTTGGAGCCCTAGGTCGGCAGAGCTCTCGCCTTTTGGGGGCTCAACGGGATTTCCTGGGTCACAAGGGTCTGTGTCCGCACCAGCATCGCTGAGCCCAGACCCCCTAGAGGTCTCGTCTCTCCGACTTCTAGTCTCAGTGGCGCCAGCCAGGGACCGACGGGGCGACGGTGGGGTCTTCTTCCCGGCAGAACAGAACAGAGCCTCGTCCTCCGCCTCCCGTTAGACAGCTCCAGCCAAGGGCAATTCCGAGAGCATTTTGTTTGGAGCCGAGATCAAACATTGGCATTAATAGCGTTCTGTGTCTCCTTCCCTAGAGCCATTAAAACAACCACACCTCGTCACCCAGAAAACAAAACAATACTTTAAATTTGTCTTTTAAAATGCCTCACATGTAACAGGTTTACTTTTTCCTTTGCTGTGTCAATCAAGCAGATCCCTGCATTTTTCTTTTTCATTCTTACTCCCGTGGTCCCCAGAATTTAGTGAGGTGATGCTTACATATACGGCAGCCTCAGTAATGAAGCTGACTACCTCTTTAAAGTGTCATGCATATTCTCTGTTCCTGAATCCCCCCATTACTGGAACGGAAAAGGAGGAGGAAATCTAGTGTACATAACCCTCCCTTCTTCACCCTCCCCCGCCTACCCTCCAGGAGTACAAACTGTTTGAGCCAGGACAAACGGCACCCTAAGAAACAGAGGCAAAGCAGTTTTATTGTTCGGAGGGAGGTTATCAAAATCAATTTTCATAAAAGTCCTGGTTTATATATTACAGTGTTAGTGCATAGATTTTATTTTATTGGGCTTTAAGTGCAGCAGAAATAGGGGGGCGCTAAGGATCCCACAAGTATGTTTCACAAAGTTTGAAACTGGGTTAAGGGGCTGCTTTCTTCTCTGCCCTTTACTGCAAAGGGTGGGGCAGAAACAAGTTTGTTAACCAGCCTTTGGATAAATGAGTGTTTGCAGTGATTTAACACGACTCGAAAGCAATTTGTTTCTAAATCCTCTTATTATTGCTGTGTGCCTAGAGCTTTAAGAGAAGTTTTTTTTTTTTCTATCTTTTTTTTTTTTTTTTTTTTTTTTTTTTTTTTTTTAAGAATTGGAAGAGAAAATTAATTTACCAATAACCAGGCTCCACCAGGATTGAACTAGATGGTTGTTCCTGGCACTTGTCATTCCCAGCAAGCACAACACGGAGAGCAAATACAAAAGGCCCAAAGTGCATTGCATCTTTTATGGGTAAGCATGAAATAGGTTTATTTGTGGTAGTGTAACCTAACTTAAGAGGTAGGAAGGCAAGGCTTTACAGCCAAAGCCACAGACATTGTGTTAGTTTTTGTTCATCTATAGGAAAAAGTGAATGTTGACTAGAATTTCTGGGAAAGATTCATAGCATATGCTATTTTAAGTATTTAGGTAACTCTTTAGTTACTGTGTTTTAATCCTTCAAATCCATTAGAAAACAACCCAATCCTTGTTCTTGGGACTGAAAATACTAGATATGCCATCAAGCACCATTATCTTGATATTTAAAGCAGAAATGTGCTTCTCCAGTTTCTTTAACCTAGTTAATATTGTGTGGCTTCACATTTCAGTGCCTTTTCAGTTATCAATCAGGGCCAGCATTTTGTTAAACTCTAAACAGTGAATTAAAAGCACTGAATGAGCTGAAGCCACCCTCTAATGCAAAATGACAAATTGCACTTAAGCAATACATGAACAAAAAATGATTTATGGATTTTTACAATGGTCTGAGCAAATGAAAGCAACATGAATTATACATCCTAATGCTCACAATATCATTTTCTAATAATAATGTTTCAGTTTAGATACTATACTCTGCTTCTTTGTAAGGGAAATTGATCAATAAGAGGTCCGGGAATGTTTTTAAATTGGGCATGGTTTGTGTTGCTGATTCCAAGTGTGTGTATGTGTGTGTGTGTGTGTGTGTGTGTGTGTGTGTGTATACATATACATATATATGCATATATTTTCTTTGGGTTTGGGGGAGGTAGGTTGACGACAAACATTGAACATGCATTCTTGTCAGATTCTTCACATATTGTGTTTTGATAGTAAATAGTCCTTTGCAAACTTTTGTTTGTTTCATACCATCATTCAGAATGCAAATAAACAGATCTCATTCAAAATGATGGTCTTTATTGCCTGATGACTTCTTTTTCTAAAAATCAAAATGCATTACATCTTCTTACCCTTTTCTTCCATTGCTTTGGATATTAAAAAGTCTTATTTCTCCAAAATGTTTCTTAACCTCTTCATATTTGTTTCATCCTGTCTTTTTCAGATCATTGTTTTTTTCTTTACAGCATTAGAAACATACCTGGGCTAGCAAAAAGGTCAGGGACCTTAGTTTTCTAGCCTTAGTAGACAAAATTTACCCTATGGGTTGTCTTAAATTACAAGAAAAAAAATCAATCAAATAAAATTTTATGGGCTGTTTGTGT